CCAGTAGCCCTCAGTTTGTTCTCTATATTTAAGAGTCTCTTATGTTTTGTCCCCCTCCTTGTTTTTATATTATTTTTGCTTCCCTTCCCTGATGTTCATCTTATTAACTCTTTAAATTTTTGGTAAAATTCAGAAGTGAAGCCCTGTGATCCTGGACTTTTATTTGTTGGGATTTTTTTTTTAATACTGATTCAACTTTATTGTTAGTAATTAGTTTATTTAGGTTTTCTATTTTTTTCATGATTCAATCTTAGAAGATAGTACATGTCTAGGAATTTATCCGTTTCTTCTAGGTTGTCCAATTAGTTGGTGTATAATTGTTCACAGTAGTATGATCATTCATATTTCTCTGGTATATGTTGTAATTTCTCTTTCAATTCGGGTTTTATTTGGAACCCCCATCCCCCCCTTTTTTTATGAGTCTGGAAAGGTTTATCACTTTTATCTTTTCAAAGAATTGGCTCTTAGTTTTATTGACCTTTTCTATCTTTTTCCTGCATTTAATTTATTGCCTCTCTGAACTTTATCACTTCATTCCTTCTGCTAATTTGGGGCTTTGTTTGCTTTTTTTTTTTTTTTTCTATATTCATTTAAGTAGAAAGTTAGATTGTTTGAGATTTTTCTTGTTTTTTTGGAGTAACCCTATATCTCTGTGAACTTCCCTTTTAGAACTGATTTTGCTATATCTCTTAGATGTTAGAAAATTGTGTTCCTGTTTGATTTGTCTCAAGGTATTTTTACATTTCCTCTTTGGTATCTTCATTAACCCATTGGTTGTTTAATAGCTTGTTGTTTTGTCTTTACATGTTTTTGGTTTTTTCTACTTTTCTTTTTATAATTGATTTCTAATTTTATTCCATTGTGGTCTGAAAAGCAGCTTGATATAATTTCAGCCTTCTTATATTTATTGAGACTTTTTTTTTATGGCATAATGTGGTCCATTCTGGGAAATGTTGCATTTTGAAATGTGAACATGAAAAGAATGTTTATTCTATTTTTAAAAATTTTTTAATGTTTTATTTATTTCTGAGAGAGAGACAGACAGAGTGAGCAGGGGAGGGTCAGAGAGGGAGACACAGAATCTGAAACAGGCTCCAGGCACTGAGCTAGCTGTCAACACAGAGCCTAACTCGGGGGTCAAACCCACGAACCAGGAGATCATGACCTGAGCCAAAGTCAGACACTTAACCGACTGAGCCACCCAGGCGCCCCTGTTCTGCTATTTTTGGATGGAATGTTAAATTCCATCTGGTCTGGTGTGTCATTTAAGCCCAATGTTTCCTTGCTGGTTTTCTGTCTGGATGATCTATCCAATGATGTAAGTGTAGTACTAAAGTCCCCACTACTATTGTATTACTACCAACTTCTCCTTCTATATCTGTTAATATCTGCTTTATATATTTAGGTGCTCTATTTTGAGTGCAGAGATATTTACAATTGTTATATTTTCTTGTTGGATTGATCCTTTTGTCATTAGATAATGCACTTCTCTCTCTTTTATTGCAGTGTTTTAAACTCTATTTTCCATAAGTATTTCTAACCAGCTTTCTTTTTGTTTGATTTTGCATGAAATATCTTCTTCCATCCCTTCACTTTCAGTCTGTGTGTATCTTTAGATCTGAAGTGAATCTATTGTAGGCACCATTTAGATTGGTCGTTTTTGTTTTTGTTTTTGTGGTTTTGTTTTGTTTTATCCCTTCAGCCATCCTATGACTTCTGACTGGAGAATTTGGTCCATTTACATTTAAAGTAATTATTGATAGATATGTATTTATTCAATTTGTTAACTTTTTCTGGCTGTTCTTATAGTTTCTTTGGTTCCTTTCTTCTCTTGAAATTTGATGCCTTTTTTTAGTATAATGTTTGGATTCCTTTTGCTATATTTCTTTGTGTATCTACTGTAGGTTTCTGGTTTGTGTTTATCATGAAATTGATATATGATACACATACATATATGTGTGTATTTTATATATTATATAATATATATTTGATATATGTAATAGCAGCCTAGTTTAAGTTGATAGTCATTCAAGTTCATTTACATTCTAAAAGCACATTTTTATGTTTTTTACATCATATTTTATAACTTTTTAATTTGTATATCCCTTACCTCATTATTATAGTTGGTTTTAGTAATTTTGTGGAGGGTTTTGTGTTTTTTTTAAGTTTATTTATTTATTTTGAAGGCAGGAAAGGAGCAGAGAGAGAGGGACAGAGAGAATCCCAAATAAGATCCACACTGTCACTGCAGAGCCCAACTCAGGCCTCCAACCATGAACTATGAGATGATGACCTGAAACAAAATCAAGAATCAAGACACTTAACCAACTGAGCCACCCAGGTGCCCCAGTACTTTTGTTTTTAAACTTTGTATGAGCTGTATAAAGTATTGGTTCAGTACATTTATTACATAATTCCTTTCCCAGAGAGAATTCTTTTACTTTCATATATTTTCTTATTGTTAGTTATGATCTTTTTTGCTTTAATTTAGCATTTCTTGTAAGATTGTTTTAGTGGTGATGAATCCTTTAGCTTTTGCTTGTTTGGAATACTCTTTATTTCTCCTTCAAGTTTAAACTTTGCCAGGTAGAATATTCTTGGTTTTAAGTTTTTTTCTTGCAGCACTTTGTAGATATCATGCCACTCTCTTCTGGCCTGCAGAGCTTTTGCTGAAAAGGGGGCTAGCCTATGTGAGTTCCCTTGTATATAACTAGTAGTTTTTCTCTCTTACCTTTTTTAAGATTCTCTCTTATCTTTAATTTTTGGCATTTTAATTGTGTGCCTTGGAGCTGTTCTCTTTGGGTTAATCTTATTTAGAACTCCATGTTAGCTGGACCTAGATATCTATTTCCTTCCACAAGTTAGAAAAGTTTTCAGAAATTATTTCTTCAAGTAACTTTTTTAACCCTTTTTCTCTCTTTTTCTTCTGGGATTCCTATAATGTCAGTGTTAGTATGCTTGATGTTGTCCCTGATATCCCTTAAACTATTCTTGTTTTCTTCAAATAATTTTTTTTTCTTTTTGCTCTTCTGAATGGGTGGTTTCTACTCTCTGTCACCAGGTCACTGATCTGCTTTTCAGTATCTCACTTACTGTTGATTCCCTCTAGTATATATTTTCATTTCAGCTATTGTATTCTTCAGGTGTGATTGGTACTTTCTTAAATTGTCTCTCTTTTTGTTGAAGTTCTCACCATGTTCATCACTTTCTTCTCCTAAGTTCGGTAGGTATCTATATGACTACTATTTTGAATTCTGTATCACATCAGTTATTTATCTCCATTTCATTTAGATCTTTTTTCTGAGTTGTTTTTCTTTTGTTTGGAATATATTCCCCTCTCTCTTCATTTTACTGTTGTTCTTTTGTTTAGAATATATTCCTCTCTCTCTTCATTTTGCTTGACTCTCTGTCTCTATTTCTATGTATTCACCAAACTGGCTACCTCTCCCAGTCTTGAAGGAGTGTCCTTGTGTAGATGTCCTATGGGCCCCAGAAGTACACTCTCCCTTGGCCACAAGAATCAGGTGCTCAAGGGAACATTTCCTGTGTGAGTTTGTGTGCCAGGCTGGCATGATGATGGTGATTGGGGCTCTTTCCTTGGCCCAGCTGGCTAGGTCACTGCAGCTGGTTAGATTTGTCTCTGTGGCTCAACTGGCCAGGGTTGCAGTAGTGTGTGGGACTCTTCCTCTGACCAGGCTATCTTTGGGCTGCAGTAGTGGGCAGAGCTCCCACATTCCACTCCTCACCCCCACCACTACCAGCTGGTTGGGTCTGCTTTGGTGGGTGGGTGGGTCTCTTCTAAGCACCCCCCCCCATCTTTCTGGGGTACTATGGGTGCTGCTGCCATTGTTGGCAGGGTTGCCAGCAGACAGCACCTTAGTGTGTGAGTAACAGCCTTGGAATGAGCACGGTAGAATGTGACCACAGAAGTGGTTCTTGACAGTGTTTCCATCCCGAAAGAGTGTATCACCAGTTTCCTATATGGCTGGGAGATGTTCCTGGACTAGCATGTATGTTCTAGGCATTTTTCCAACTGGGCTTTTAAGAATAGGTACCATTCCCTATAACTATGATTTTTCTGGTTATAATCCCTGTTACTTCTCAAAGCATGGCTTTTTAGAGTGTTGTCTCTCCTGTGAAGGACCTAAAGGTTAGAATGCCTAAGGGAGGAGTTGTGTTCTTGAGATCCCTCTGAATTATAGATAACTGCACCTGGGTTGGGCTTTTTCTTTTTTCAGTGAGAACTTGTCTCTGTCACTCTTACCCGTGTCAGTGCTGCCTTTGTGTCTCATTTTGGAGGCTCTGTTTATCCATATTCAGGTTCTCTTCAGAGGAAATTATTCCAAATGTAGTTGCATGTTGGTTTTATCTGTGGGAGGAGGTGATCTTAGGCTCTTTCTGGCTTCATAGAAGTCATCTTGAATTTTCTACCATCTATAAGCTTTTAACAGTCTATCTTTAATTCTGTCTTAGTTTTTAGGCTTTGTTAACACAGTGTAAAAACAAGTCAATTCTATCAAATAGCTATTGGAAAATAATTTATCAGTTTGTTAAACACAGTTGATTGGGAAACTTGTTTAAAATGTCTATCCCTAGTTTATATTAGTACGTTTAGAATCTCTAGAGGAAGCACGTCCCTCAGAAACCAGAAAATGTTGGAACCAGTGTATTTTAGTTCACCCTTAGAAGCATTATGAAGTGAGTATATTTTTGTTTTTCCTGACTGGTAATCTGCCCTCTTTCACTATTGCTAAATTTCCCACCTGACTACTATGGAAGAAGAATGACAACCTGACCCACACTCTGCTGTTGGCAATGAATTGTTGTATTTTAGTCTCTAATAAGCAGCAGAATTCATGAGATCATGAGACTTCACTGATCTCTACCATAATCCTGTCTTCTAGTGTGTGCTCCATCTGTATGACTCCTGGGTATATAGATGTGGGAACATGGCCTATCCTTTACTGTGGTTTTCTTTTTCTCTCCAATCACACAGGGACCCTAAAACTGGACTGAGATACTCAACTTTGGTCACCAGCACTACCTAGATTGTGTGGGAGTTCTCAGCCTTGGTGGCTCTTCCTGGATTTATACACACATTCAGCCCTGGACCAGAGGTATTCACCTACTCCTCTGTTTGTTATATGATTATTAGCTATATTATAGGGCTCTTTCACTACCACACCATGTGCTGAGAGCTTTCTGTTTCTGCTTGGCTCAGCGAGCAGTGACGGACTTGGGACCTCTAAAATAAGACCTTGGAGGGGTTAAAAAAAAAAAGTCACACAACAGTGAGTAACTGTTCTAGTCATCAGTTTATTAGAATCTTTTATACTGGAGGGTTTTGTGGATAGCTGTGTGTCAGCCAACCAAGAGAGTCCTGTCTGGAGACGACAGACAGATAAAGTATACATACCGTTGGTAGGACAGTCTCCCATGGAAGCAATTCCTGGGACAGCCTCACTACAGGAAAGAGCAGCCAACAGTAGACAGAGGAGGAGGCAAGAATCTAGAGTGTGAGAAGTTCTCTGAGGCATTTACTATGGCTTCTACTGAGGAAATATATCTAAAATCTGGGAACTCAACTATATCCTGAATAAGAACACAGGCTCTGGAATCACTCTGGCTTTGGAGTGAATCCACAGCTAATTAAATTACTTCACACAAATTTCTTAACTCTGTATGTCAGGGTTCCCATGTGTAAAGTGGGGTTAGAATAGTTAGGTGCACAGCCATGGCCATTAGTTTATTTATTGCCTATGACTGATTTCAGTCTATGTCAGAATTTAGTAGTTATGACTGCGACCAACTGAGATTGTCCCAGAAAGCCTAACTACTTACTACTTGGACTTTTACAGAAAAGTGATTCTAATTGGGGTGGTACTGCTTCTCTATGGGGAAATGTGAAGAGCATTTTTGTTTGACACTATCTAGAGAGTGCTTCCCAAACAATATTTTGTCTTCCCAAAATGTCGGTAACATCTCTGCTGAGAAATGTGTGCTCTAGAATCTCCAAAATAATGTTGAAACATCCCTATCTAATTTGTGATTTTAATTGAAATGGTTTTAGTGTTTCACAGTTTAGAAAGCTCTTTTCTGGTGTGTCTGGGTTGCTCAGTTGAGCGTCCGACTTTGGCTTAAGTCGTGATCTCCCGGTTTGTGGTTCGAGCCCCACATCGGACTCTGTGCTGACAGCTCAGAGCCTGGAGCCTGTTTCGGATTCTGTGTCTCCCTCTCTGCCCCTTCCCCACTCGTGCTCTGTCTCTCTCTGTCTCAAAAATAAATAAACTATAGGGGCGCCTGGGTGGCTTAGTCGGTTAAGCGTTCGACTTTCACTTAGGTAATGATCTCCCGGTTTGTGGGTTCGAGCCCCGCATCGGGCTCTGTGCTGACTGCCAGCTCAGAGCCTGGAGCCTGTTTCAGTCTGTGTCTCCCTCTCTCTCTGACCCTCCCCTGCTCACGCTGTCTCTCTCTCTCTCTCTCTCCTAGAAATAAATAAAAATATTAAAAAATAAATAAATAAATAAACTATAAAAAAATTTAGAAAGCTCTTTTCTGAAGAGGAAGTTTAGAAACAAGGTGCTGGATCTGAATCCCTTACACACTGTGTGGCTTTGGACAAGCCAGATAACTGTGCCTCAGTTTCCTTATCAATAAAATGAGAATAATAACAGTGCCTGTTTCTTGGAGTTGCAGTCAGAATGATAGAACTAAGTATACATAAAACAGTACATGCTTCAGAGTAGACACTCAAGGAGTGATTATTATTATTATTTGGCATATTGTTTAAAGTTGCAAATAGGTGGGGCGCCTAGGTGGCTCAGTCAGCTAAGTGTCTGACTTCAGCTCAGGTCATGATCTCATGGTTCGTGGGTTTGAGCCCCACGTCAGGCTCTGTGCTGACAGCTAGCTCAGAGCCTGGAGCCTTTTGATTCTGTATCTTCCTCTCTCTCTGATCCTCCCCTGCTCATGCTGTCTCTATCTCTCTCTCTCAATAATAAATAAAACATTAAAAAAAATTTTTAAAAAGTTGCAAATAGCTAAAGTCCTAATTAATGATGCTTCAAGCAATAGAAGGGGTATTTTTCTCACATAACAAGAAATCCAGAGGTTGGTGACTACCACCATGGGGTAAATAGCTTAATAACAGCAGGGATCATGTCTTTGTGGTTCTCTTGTCCTTTACCTAGTGATTCCAAAATGATTGTTGCAGCTTTGGCATCCTATCCTTGTTTTGAGTCCAGAAAAAGGAGTAAGGGGCACACCAGTTCTTCCTGTCTCATTTTAACAGGGAAATAAAACCTTTCCTAGATTCCTCTCAGTGGATACTGGAGCCATACTATGTTTCAGTCCCAACTCTACCTCTTACTATCTGTGTGGCATTGGGCAAATTTTTTAATCTCTCTGTGCCTCAGTTTTTTCATATGTAAAATAGAGGATGATGAAGGTTTACATCTTAGTGTACTGTTGTAAAGAGTAGGTGAACTCTGAATTCATAAAATGTTGGTGCTATTTTATGAGACTGATTCTCTAAAGTGGCTTCCCCAGAGCTCTTGCCTTGATGCTCTTTCTGCCCTGGGCCCTTATATTGTTTTATCATGTAAATTCTCTTTCTTCTAAGCACGTGAACAAAATGAAGCTGGTAAGTAGTACAGTGGTTTGACTCAGTTTTTATGTACACATTTCTCTGATTATGCTCTTCCCTCCTGTCTCTCATGAGGGAGATGTTTCATGCTTGTTCACTCTTTCAGCCTAGCATGGACGTGGCTGCTTTTGTTTTCCCGTAAACCTTTGTTGTAGTTTTCAAATACAGTGCATAATGATGGCATTCGATCATATTATTGGCATTTCTCCTGAAATCCCAACAAAATATTTGGATATAAAAATATAACTTGAAATAAGCCTCCTGATTTAATGTTATTATTAAACATTTGTGTAGTACTTTATATTTACAAAGTGCTTTACAATTATTTATTAGTTAATTGTACTACTGTTAATCAACATTAACTATCTGGCCAAATTAATGATTTCAAATTGTCCTACCAGTTGGTAGCTGAAGAGTGAAAAGTAAAGTCATATTGGATTTTATTCTCATTGAACAAACTGTTTTGTCCTTCTCTTTTCTGCACAGTATTGTGCAAACTGACTGTAAAGGGAGGTTCAAATCAGAGAGAAAAAGAGGTCTCTGTTCTCTTCCTTCTATTGTCCTATAAGTGTGGGCCTTCCCTCAGATTCACTCTAGACCTTCTGCACTGAAGAGCAGTCTTCTCTCCTAGGGAAAGCCCCACATCTATTCCCACATATTCAGCTCTGTCTCCACATCTATAATTCATCTGTGTTCCAAACTCTAACTCAGTACTGAATTAGATTTGAAATTTAAAGGTACTCAATCTTCAAGCTCTCAAGATTCAACTTGTTGATGGTCACTTTCACTCCATCTTCAACTGTGTTCATATTTATTTTAATGTATATTTTTAATTATTCAAACTGATCATTACCATCATACTGTAAAGTAGGGTCTGACTTCAAGAAGTATTGTGCGCTTACACTCCCATCGTGTCCACACAGTCACCATTAAAGGATAATTTATTCTGCAATCACTCTCATCTCCCTGCCATCAGTCCACAGTTCAGGTGCTTTGATAATGTGATTGATAATGAGAAATATGTATTTGGTCTCCATCCCAGTTTCCGGTACAGAGCTCCTAAAACCTGTGGAATTTCCTGTGATGAGAATTATAAAGGTGTCTTTTGTTGTGTTAATGAGGTTACTTTTGGAAACCACCTAAGACTGGGGGCTGGCTACTAGTAGAGCCAACCCTGTCTTTAGACAGTTGGGATTTCCTTTACTACTCCCGGTCTCCAGAGAGGGCAAAGGGGCTCGAGATGCAGTTCAATCTCCAATGGCCAGTGATTTAGTCAATCATGCCTATGTAATGGAGCCTCCATAAAAACCCAAAAGGAAGGGTTCAGAGCATGTCTGGATGATGAACACATGGAAATTTGGGGAGACTGCCATGCTGGGAGAGAACATGGCACCTCTATGTCCTTCCTCATGCCTTGCCCTGTGCATCTCTTCCATCTGGCTGTTTCTGAGTTATATCCATTTATAATAAAATGGTAATCTAGTAAGTAAAATTTCTCTCTGAGTTCTACAAGCTACTGTAGGAAATTACTCAAATCTAAAAAAGGATTCAATAGAAATTCCATTCTATAGTACTGTCAGTCAGTACAGGTGACAACCTCCACTAGTGACTGCCATCTGACATGGAGGCAGTAGAAGGCAGTCTTGTGGAAATGAAGCTGAATCTGTAAGATCTTTGCCATCTCCAGTAAATGGTCTCAGAATTAAGATTAACTGTAGGACACCTATCTGGTACAGAGAATTGCTTGGTGATGTGGGAAAAATGGCCTCCACATATTGGAATTATGTGCAGAATCATAGGTGCTTAGGATTTTATTGCCTGACAGTGCAATATTTTTCAGATATTTGGAGCCCACGCCTCACACGGTAGCTACACCAAACCTGCAATGACAGCCCTGCCCAGAGAGTTTCAAGTCTTAGTGTTCTAGCTTGATGGTACTACTCTTCACTATCATCTCTCCTCGGGGAGAAAACCGTACCTTACTGACTCTGCCTTATGTTTTCTCAGGTATGCTGTCTACTTTTGCTATTCCACTCACCTAAAATGTCTTTCTGTATACCCCAAATCTACTCATTCTTCAGATCTAGTCTACATCCTACTTTTTCATAACATCCTTCCCAATTACCCAAACCAGATGTGATTGTCCTTCCCCTTTGAGTCCTTTTGTACATAATGTGAACACTATTTTGGTGACTTAACCACGTATTGCTTTGTTACAGTTCTTCTGTTACCATTTTAAGCTCTTATTTTATGATTGCATTGTGTTTCAATTTTTCACATGTATCTTTTTATCTCTACTTGCTTTTCTTTGACAAAAAGTTATAGCTTTTATTCCAAATATTTTATTTCAAAGAACAGTTCAGCGTTAAGCACTCACAAAATGTCTCTTAATTGATATGTATTAGAAGCTTAGGTGTTCTATTATTCCTAGGTGGATTGAATAAATAATTACCTTTAACCACCAGTATCACA